AAAAAATCAAAGACTTTCTCAGCGCTTTTGACTATGTTCACCTAAAGCTCATGGCTCCAGGCACGATGCGCCATCTTGAACGCGCCGAAAGCTGGTGGTTGCTCTTCATGACCCACATCTTGGGCTCTGAAAAGGCCGCCAAGGCAACCTTGGCGCGAGGCGCCCCTCCTCCTCCACTTGAACAGTTCAAGGCATTCCTCTGGTTCGTCGCCTGTCGAGGCGAGTCGGCCATGGGAGGTGGTAGAAAAGGTTGGACTTCAACCACTCTCAAGGTGTTTCTGCAGCGAGTTCATTCAATGGCAAGTCAATTCTTTGCCTAGTCTTTTGCTTTCGTCTGAATCTTCTTGCAGCGCGCCTATCTCCACTGTAAAGCCCCACCCGCACACTATTGCAGCGAATTGCTGAGCGTGAGTCTCGTCGTTTTTATATTCCTCTTTGATTCTCATGCTTTTACCAGGCTGTTGACCAATGGGGTCGAGAGCAGATCTTGAGCACCGACAAGCGGGAAAAAAGGATTATACGCGACAAAGACCAGTTGGATCTTTTGACCGTTTTCCTAACCCGCGATACCGGCGTATCAAGCTGGTTCATGGTTCGTCAAAGTTCATCTTTTCAGTAACGATTTACTCATATCGTTCCCCATCAAGACCTTGCAATGCATGGCCTTCAGCCAGATCCTCGCTGATCACGGACTTCGGCCTGGAACGCTCTGCCCTTCCCCGGGCTACGAAAAGACTGATCATTATATCAAGTGGGAGGTATGACGATCAAGTCTGTCCTTGTCAAGAACTAACTGGCGTTTAGGATCTCACTTGGGTTGTATCTGGACATACCCCCGGGCTCGGTCTCGAGATTTCCATCTTTTGGAAATTCAATTGGGCGAAAAACATGCATGATCATGCCTCACGATTGCAAGTCACTCGCGCATGTCATTTGTTTTCTTTGTGTTCATCCGCTCTTTCTACAGCATCGCGACAAACAGCAAGAATCTCCCAAAGGATCATATTTATCAAGACAAGCAGCTCATGCTCGAAGTTTTGGCCCACGTACAGGGTATTTTCGAAGAAGGATACGATCCTCTATCTTTGCGGGAGGCAGATCCCTCCACTCTCAAGTTTCCCCTCCAGCTCAAGATGAAGTCGGACCGGAAGACGCGCCCGTTATTCGTGAACAAGCAAGGCGACGGCCCTCTCAGCTACAGCTCTCTGCAAACAATCTTCAGACGTGTCCAGAAAATTCTGGGATGGCCAGGTACGTTTCTTGCTCTCAATTATCTTTCGTATCGGTCAATTTTCATAGGTTTCACTTTTCGGTGTTACCGTTATCACTGGTGCACGACGATGGTAAAAAAATTGTCAAAAGTGAGTGCTTGTTCTTACGCAATGTATGTTTTTCTCATTCCGTCCAGGACGATTTCCGCAATCTACTTGGTCACATTCCCAAATCCTTACATGGACATTCGACTTATCAGACCGACTATCGCGTGGCCGACGTCATTGCTGCGCGTTATGATACGGCATCAGACGAGGAGCTTCACCAGCTCTTTAGCTCGGTTGGTTGGACGGGGGAAGTCGACGACACGCCACCCGCCAGTGTGTTAAGAAAGGAAGACGTCGAGAGTGATCGTGAACTCCAAGGCTTGCTGCAAGAGTACACTAGCAGGGAAGCCTTGGTACTGAAAAAGTACGGTGTCGTGTCCCATCTGGTCACCGAGGCGGTAAAATTCCTCTCTTCTTTCGCTCGGGTCCTTGTCTAATGTATTCAACCAGTCTCTCGACAACGAGATCGTGGCCAAGGCTAAAGAAGCTTGGGCCGATGTTTTAGGACGTATAGTCACAAAAATGACCGAGGTTTGTCTTTCCTTCTCTTCGTTTCTTCGTTTCTTCATTTTTGTTGCAGGGCCGTGACGGTCGACACACTCGTTCGTTATCCGTCGATTCCAGAATGTCGGTTGATTCGGTCAAAACCGATGTATCCATGAACTCCAAAGGCCGGTCGGAGGTGGACGATTCGGATGAGGCAGGTAAGCAGCGCATGATTATCTCCCCTTGTCGTATGTTGATTATGAAAAAAAGTCGCGAGCGAGTCGTTGGAACAGGGTACGTCTTTGGTTCGCTCTTTATTCAATCCATCTCATCCTCTTACAAGGTGATCCGGATGCACCTGTTGCCATCGCCACGTCTTCATCGCACAAGCCCTTGCCAGAGGCTCTCGGGATCGACAAGGAGCTTCTCGAGAAAGTCAACACTATTCAAGCGGAAAAAATGAACGAAATTCTCAACTCGGATATCAACCATCCTTTCGCTCCGCTGGTCAAGAACGAGTCCAAAAATGTTCGACTCATGGTCTGCAAGTTATACCTGGCTCAGATCCAAAAGGACGAAATTGCGAGGAAGCATCAGTGCGTAAAATGCCTTTCGAACAAGGATCTGCCCCAAGATGTACGCGAAAAGGATCACGGTGATCACTATGCTCAGCATATCTTGTCGTGTCAGGCGGACGAAAAGGACATTTTCTATTGTGTCATTTGTCAAACATGTCTTCCTGCTCCATCCTCGAAAGATGACAAGAATTTTGAAGCCTACAACGACCAAATCAACTCGCACATGGACGAATGTCTCAACACCTTGCTGGCCAGCTTTGGTCCACGCAAAGACGACAGCAAGGGCAAGGGCAAGGCAAAGGCCACTCCCGAATCCAGTGTGAAGAGACACAAGTCCGACGACTTGTAAGAATTTTTTGTCTTCTTATCGATCTCTTCTAATATGCTCTCGTAGTGGTGTGGGCCAGCTTAGTGTATCATCCAAGATCGCTGGTGCTCGGACCGCGACAACTCGATATATTTGTCCGATTTGCATATCTGACAAATCCGAATACGAAGACGCGAAAACGGCCTGGCAAAACAAGCTTTTGTAAGCCAACGTATTTCTACAAGGAGATTGCTCTGACCTTTTTCGCAGTTGGACGATTTCAGTTGTCCCTTTGTTGCAACATATGATTGGGGCTCACTGGAATGGTAGCATACGTGGCGCTGGAATCGATTATGGCAAGGAGTTTGTCTGCGGCTTGCCAGGATGCGATGAGCAGGATGAGACGTAAGTTTTCTGCCGATGGATTTCCTTTTTCCTACTTGACGCTTGCTTTCTCAGTATGGATACGGGTGAAATGATCAATCATCTTCACCATGGACACGGCTACAAGCTTATCGAATGCCCAATCGACCACTGCACCCCAACCTGCAAGAAAAACTGTACCATCAATCACCATGTCGAGTCGTGCGGACCGCTAGAACTTGAAGGCGAATTCAAGTACACGCGCGATGCTCGCAACGAACTCAAACACCTCGACATTCCCCTTCCTTTAGCGACGGTGATTGACCACCGCAGGCCTCAAGTCGTTCAGACCGCGGAAAAGAAGATTATGGCTCGAAAGGGCAAGGAAGACGATTCATCTTCGGCTTCGACGTCGACTAGGGGGCGAAAGAGTAAAAAGGTCGACAAGGCGGAACCCCCCAAAAAGGTTTCTAGGCGGAATGTCATTCTCTCCCCTACCCCCTCTGAAGACGATTCGAGTAAAAAGGTCGACAAGTCTGAACCCCCCAAAAGGGTTTCTAGGCGGAATGTCATTCTCTCCCCTACCCCCTCTGAAGACGATTCATCCTCGGCTTCGACGTCGACTAGGGGGCGAAAGAGTAAAAAGGTCAACAAGGGCAAGAACAAGGCCGAGGCCCCCCAAAAGGTTTCTAGTCGGAAGCCTCCCAATCTCGTTCCTTCCCCTACCCCCGCTGCTGTTGCACTTACTCTACCGGATGACATTATCGTCGACCCAGCTCCTCTTTCTCTCGCTCCGCCAGACGATGGCCTTCCAGATCCCGGTGGGTTTGAAGGGTTCGATACTCTTGATACAGACACGGCGTTCGGTACAGGTACCGAATTCGGCGGAGATTTCGATGGCGGTGATGCAGGTTTGGCAGGTACTGAATTTGGTGGAAATCTCGAGGATTTCGATACGAATCTGGGCGGCGACACGGACGCAGGTGGTACTGGTATGGAAGGTTTCGATACGAATCTGGGCGGCGACACGGACGCAGACGGTACTGGTATGGAAGGTTTCGATACGAATCTGGGCGGCGACACGGACGCAGACGGTACTGGTATGGAAGGTTTCGATACGAATCTGGGCAGCGTCAAGGATGCGAGGAGGACTGGTATCGAAGCGACGAATTTTGACGATGACGTTGATTTTGCTGCTGTCATTGCTCGCGACGACGGATTCTGGGATTCTTTGGATAGCAATCCATGGTCGAGCTCTGCCTCTACTTCTGCAGTACCTTCGGCTCCTTCACTGTCTTCATCCACTTCCGCTTCAACATCCGCGTTTCTATCTACTCCGCATGGACCGGCGTCCAGCAATCCATGGTCCGACTCTGCCGCCAAGCAAGACCCTCTTCCATTTTCAGCCTCTTCGTTGTCACCCACCTCCGCGCCGTCCATTCCTCTACCTTTGGCCACCACTGATCCCACTCCGCATGGACCGGCGTCGGAGCATGAAAGGATTCGTAGATGCATTCAAGAGTTTGAACAGTTGAACGGTATCACCGTACCGGGTTTGGTTGAGGTTCTCATCGCCGAAGAGATGACAGTTGAAGATGTTCGAGCTACCAATTGGGAAGAGATGAAGTCGTGCTATCCGAGTATAAAGTTGGGTCATTTCAAAAAACTCGCTTCATTCTTATCGCAATGGCTTGATAGAGAAAGTAGTTTGTAGACAACTCGTAAATTGTATCATTTCGTTATGGAAACTCAAATGTATGATTAGCTAGAACGATTCTCACACACCATAGCGTCTCATCAAAGTACCGCACTATCCGAGTCACAATGGATGATGCGCGTAGAGCTGAGTCGATACAAAGGGTCAGCTGGAAGAGAAGAAGACGCGGCATTCAATATGTTGGTTGTAAGAACGATAATCTATTTTCAATACGCCGTATATGAAATAATGCCCGCTTAGCTCAGAGGTTAGAGCATTGTGCTTATATGGGTACCTTTCAAGTCCAAGCTTTACGCAAGGGTCGGCAGTTCGATCCTGCCAGTGGGCATGTCCGCTTTTTCGTATTAGAAAACACCCATGGGGGTTTTCTAATGGAGGTCTGTTTTAACTTTTTCTTAGTCGAAACCCTCATGTAATGAAACGTTTTTCTCTAACCTCTATTGTGCCCCTATTACGTAATCCTAAGCATATTAATGCAAAGGTCACCAGTTCGACCCTGGTAGGAAGCATCGGAAGGTTTGAAAGCTAATTTTTTATTTATTTTACTTTTTATTAATTCTTTGGTTTCCGAATCATTGTACAATGGTTGAAAATCACTTGTTAGAAGAGATCAGGTTTTACTAAATATTCAATTTTTATTTTCTATTCAACAAAGTTTTGTGTATGGAGCTCATTCCCGCTACTGTTAAGTAGAGGGTTTTACAGGCCAACCCATTTCGATCTTGAAGTCCGTCCCCCGATCATTCTTGCCATCTTTGGACAGATTTGTCATCACACTGATTACATTTCTGTCCGATCATTGTTTCCTCTTCGGGCTTATCTGTTGCTTTTGCTTTGTAATCAGCTACTGATGAGATCCGAAATTCCTTTGGCCGATGATTACCTTCTCGACCTGTCTCCTCAGCCACCTTGCCTGCATGAATTGTTTATCTTTCATGGTGTCTGCACATGCCATCTGGGTGTCATACGACTTCCATCTTGTTGTGTCAATCATTTCCTGCAAATTTGTTCGGAGAGTGTCCCTTTGCGATGTCAGCCTTGTTGGGACCTGCCTTTTGCTCAAAACCTCATTGAACTTCATACATCTGCACCTGTGGTGCTTGATGTGATTGCAAATGTCTTGCCGTCTTTAAAACACCTATGGGTCCTCAATCCTCCACCATGGGGGATGGCCATATTCACTTCAATTGCCTCAGTGATCCGAAAATCCTGCAAGCTACAGTTGCTACACCTCATGTGCCATAGCACTTTTGACCATGACCTCATCAATGTCTTTCTAGAATCAGCACAGGGCTTGCAAATCTTTGAATGTGTGCAGTGGTAAGCCTTCCTGTGATCCGTGTACATTTGTATTTGACTGATCGCTGCAAGATGTCTATCTTGCTTCAATTTACACCAGTGCAGTTTGTTGTGCATCTGTACTTAAATTCCTTATGTTGCACACTTCTGAAGATTCAGCAATTCAGGTTGTGAAGGATTGTCAAATGCATATTGCATATGCAGCATTGCCATCATGGAGTGTGGATGCACTACCAGACATGTCTGTTCAGCTTTGTGTATACCCATATACCTGTGTAATCTACATAAAGGATGAGACTGTACTGAGGTACAAGAGTGTCAGATTTGTAGCCATATAATAGCAATTTAGTCATGCTCCTGTCAGAAAATACTTGACACAATTTCCTCTGCTCAAACTTAAGTCTGCCGGGTATATAAATGTGTAACCATTGATAAAGTAATAGTATTTGAGTAAAGTAATATAACTTATGTTTAACATTCTGCAATTCGACGGTAGCGGGCTCTGCCGCTTGCCGGCGCTACTTGGTTATAGTTCAATAATAAATAATCGGAACACTCAGAACAGTGATGGATCATGGCAGGCATTCATATTGCTTATTGCAGACAATAATTTGGGCTTCCAAATAAGGCTGGCTGTTTCAATGCAGGTCATACACTCAATGATTGGGTTCTGAAAGTCTTGGATTAGTTGGTACCAAGGTGGGATCAAGAGAACATGCTTCAAGAGCTACTGTTTAGTCCTTCAACGAGTCATAGATAGTCACTGCCATCTCGCAGTGAAAACAGCTGGTGTTGGTGTATTAAAATGTGGTCGTGATGACCAGTTAATAATAGGTACAGTCAAAGTGGATGCTAAAATGGCACTGAAATGATGTCTAATTTTTGAGAAACTGCCTTTCAGCGGCTTACCGGTTGAATGTCCCTTCTGAACATTCCACTGAATATGTTGTATAATTTGAAATATGTCTTTGTAAATATCTTTTCCACTATGAGAGCCATTTCATGCAGAATGCCTTCAAGTGACTGTCAACCATCAGCTGAGCCACACTGTATGTATTATTTTCGGCACATTTAGCAGCTGGCAAAAGGAATGAGCCTAGTGCCACTTGGACAAAGAACCTTTGATTTGCTTTCAAAATACTCTGTCAAGTCAGCTGTCCAATGAAAGGAGTTCTTTACTGATGACTCTAGCACTTCAGCTTAAAGTGTCAGTCCTCAGGCTGCCTACATCAGGCACTGGCAAAGAAGAAGTTTGCCTGAAGCTAACCTAACTCTAGTGTAAATGGAAAATCAGCCACTGAAACTGGTTTCAGCAGCTCATGAGCCACTGACAACTTAAATCCTTGCTGAATTTCCAGCCACTGAAAACTGCTTTCAGTGGAATTTTCAGCAAACATTTCAGCGGCAGTTTCAGTGGCCATTTTGACTGTCCCTAATATAATGTGGATGTACCCACTTGTATCTTCATTGATTTCTACTGAGCAATCTTTGAAGGGGTCGAATCATTAACTCCTTGTGGAATTTATTCAGGTGCATATTCTTCCTCAAAGGGCGCCGAAACAACTCTCTGGAGTATTTGCAAATGAGGATATTGGTCTTGTTAGGGATAGGCTCTGCAAATCCCACCTGAGCTTCTTGTGCAATGCTGAAAACCAGGAATTAGATAAGTCTAATATGCTACAACAACTTAGCTTGATGTGATTTTTCTTTTTGATACTGTTCTGGTCTCGATAGATGATGTCGACCGATGAACAAGCATGAAGAAAATGGCCTTCTCACCATATTCCATGAATTACTTCTCTTGTCATAGCAACGCATGATGGGCGAAATCTCCAAGACCTTTCTTTTTGTTCTGTAGAAGGTTAAAGTCCTTCATGTCCGGCTTTGAATCGCTCGACTATTCCAGCACAGATTGTCCAAGCTGAAAGTGGTGTAGTTGCCTGTGGATTCACTAACCTAACGCAGCAAGACTTTGTGATGGCGAGTATGATACTCGAGAGACAGACTGGCTAGAAGCCGGATGTCGGAAATAACGAGGGGACGATGTAAAAAAAAAAACATCGAGACAGTAACGGCAAACCGAACACACATCGTTATGGCACCTGATATGCGGAGCTTCAGCCAGAGTACAGCAGCGTAATCTTTGCGATCATAAATCTGGATGGAAGACTCATAGAGGGAATAGGCATATAAAGGCTCATTAGGAGCGCAGGGCAAGATGAATGGCCCTCGGCGCTCTCATGAGCAGTAGGCTAGATACTCTCCGAGGACCTGATACCGTGAAGTTCTTGAGTCATTCATGCCAAACGAAGGAGACTGCCTGGGATTGATTATTGAAAGATCTCTGAAGGGACTCCGAGTTAATAAAGGATGCCCATGATTTAAAACAAAAATTCATACCTCCAAAACAACCTTCAGCAACATGCCCCTTGCCGGTCTCTCAATAGACCCCAACTTGCCAAAGCGTTGAGCTTGAGGATGCTTTGTTTGTCCTCGACAGCTTATGAGCCCTTCTTCCGAGAGCTGTTCTTGGTCCTTTTGCGTGGATGTTCATCTTCGCATTCCTCTCGCCATTCGTCATCTTGAACGGTTGAAGCTCATGAATCACTCTGAGTGTTTGACGCTTCATTGCGAGCCGAGTATTGTATCAGCAATTCTGCAGAGAGAGTAGCCCTGTCCTGGGTGTGCTGAGGACATTTGTTCTTGCTGGCAGTAGATAGGGGTAGAGGTCAAGTCAAAACGCGGTCCTGTGACATCCAAGTGATGTCGACTCAAAGAATCAGACACGTGAGACTCAGGCTGGGTACAAAACGAATATGCTGTTCAAATGTATTATAGAATACCCATGAAAAGAAGCCTGGGTGTGTTCTTCACATACAGATGCTTTTGTAAAACGTGCATCTACTGACCACTGCTTCCCACAGCACCAGTTTATAGTTGAGTACTTCAAGCTACGGCATCGACGACACTGAACATGTACACGCATACCAAAAGATCCACGTAAACCAGATGCAAATTACTTGTAAAAATACATGCTACATCTGACATCAGAACACTATGGATTTCAAACATTCGCTCTATGCAAGATAAGAGGGCACAAACGATAACATGAAAGTACGAGCGACGTGAAGAGCCAACAGGGACCTATAGTGTATACATGCGAAAGTGGGTACATCCTCCTCACATAGGTTGTCGACACAAGAGTACGTGCAAAATGAAGGCAAAAGTTCAACGTTCAACTCGTCATACAGAAGAAGTCCTTTCAGAATTCAAGGCAGTATCATCCTCAAGCGGAGCCAGTGAGGGCCTGTACCGAAAGTTGCTGCACCAGCTGCGCAAAGAGCAAGTAGGATCCCAATACCAAAGCTCTTGGACATCTTCAGGTCTAACAAGGTCAAGAGAGTAAAGTTTATCATCACCGGCAATACCACCGTGGCTGATCATGACAAACAGTGAGGTTACCATCAGCATCAAAATGCAATGTACTGAACAGGTCTCACACTTATGCGCTGTTGAAATGGTTCTGCAAATCTGTTATTGCATGAGTGATCGACTGGTGGCAACGAATGCAGCGGATACACTGATGAGCGGCATTGGAGTCCTCAGCGTTAAGGATTCTTTGGGTTTCATTGCCGAAAGCATTTATCTGGAGGGTATGATCGTGATGAGCGGTCTGATAAAAAAGCGAAAATCAGCAACATTCCCTTAGAATGAGATAATGATTCACATAGCTGAGTGCGGCGGGCCACCTCATAAAAAGTCGCCCAGCATTCCAAGTTGAGCTAGGTTGTTCGCAGCTCGTGCATTCAATGAGTGGATTTGTATCCCACAAATCTTGGACAGTGGTTGTCATAGGATCGAGAGAGCAAGCTTCAACAATGGTCTTGGCAACCCGAGAACTCTTTTCATTTAGAGTGAGATATTGAGGTGTCCATGGACCATTGATGAAGTAGTAGATTTCTTTGAGCCGGTGACTATTAGCGTCAATATTTCCGAAGCAACAGTCGTGATAAAACATTTGAGGGTAGA